CAAATCAAACTAGAATTCTTCAACGAGGCTGTGTACGAAAAATAACATAAATCAAGATGAATTTTAAAATCTCACTTTATATTTGAGTATGTGGCGACTGATTATGACAATATTTCTGCGCTCTTACCGAGTTTGGCATCATAACACCGTCACTAAATAAATCCTCAGCAAACTATTTTCATTTGTCTCATTCTGGTTGAAAATGACGTACAACAGATTAATAAATGACAGTGATTCTCACTAATCTGAACCTTCATCTTTTAGGCCAACGAAACTAAATTGTCATTTGAATAATTAAACATGTAGCAACTTCACAGACATTTTCTAAGTTCTCAATGGCTCTTTGGAACACTCGAGTTTCTTTCGGAAAAGTTTATAACTCTGGATTATTCCAGCCATTTTAGAAAGATTAATGTGTGCTTCCTAACACTAATCTTTTAAAATTTACGCGTAAATATAATAATTAATATTTAAATATATCAACTAAAATTTTATATTGGTGTTAATTACTGTACGGGCGCAAAGCTAGTTTTACACAGCTCCCGTTTATCGGACTCGTGATCTAACAACGGGAGCAGTCATTTTCAAACATTTCTTCTTTGTCGGTCTCGCGAGAGTCTCGTTCTTTATAAGATATCTCATAAACTTTTCTTGATAAGATATCTTATATATTATATGAGATATCTTATATCTTTTATGAGATATCTTATATAATATATAAGATATCTTCTAAAGAAAATTAATTGAGATATCTTATAAAAGATATTAGATATATTATATAAGTTATCTTATAAAAGATATAAGATATCTTATAAAGAAAGATTTATGAGATATCTTATATCTTTTATAAGATATCTTATATCTTTTACAAGATATCTTATAAAGTATATAAGATATCTTATAAAAGATAAAAGATATCTCATAAACTTAAAATAAGATATCTTATATGTTTATAAGATATCTCATATGTTTATAAGATATCTTATATAATTTATAAGATATCTTATATAATATATGAGATATCTTATATAATTTGGTTAAGTACTGGATCAACATTGCTCCATGAATAAATGACAACTTGGCTTGACATAACATACACTTTTTAAAATATATAATATGCGGTGTTTAATGCGAAAAAAAAATCAAATAAGATCATCTTTCAAAAATAAAAGGAATATCAAGTGTTGGTTATTATTAGATTCTAGATATATATTTTCGTTTCAACAAAATCAGTTGATCTGTGGAAGTCGAACATTTGAAGTTTGTGTGTAGGCTGGAGTTTTGGCTGTTCCTTTATTATGGTTTTCCGCCCGATGCTAGTATTAAAAATATTAAATCTACAAAAACTGTTGTAACCTTTTTTATTGTAGCTCATCGTAACGTAAATATATGAATTGAATGGAATATTTTTCATGTACATTGCGGCAATGAATAGCAGTAGATGATCTACATATTTTCTGAGGAGCGTTTACGCGCTCCACAGGATATGTAGTCTTGATTAGCTACTGCTATACATATGAAAAAAAATCCATTCAATCCCGATATGTATATCGAATCTTACAGTAGCGCAAACATATATAAATAGCCCACAAACACACAACTACCAAACAAACACACACACACACACACACACACACACACACACACACATGATCCATACAAACACTCACCCTGGTAGTCCCCACATAGATAGCCAACACCACAGTAAGTTATGAATTTTGATTATTCTACGTTTCCATTAAAACTCATTATACAGTGTTCTAAATTCGCTGTGTAATCCATTACTTTAATAGAATACATAGTTCACACCAACTCAAGGTAAATGTATGAAGGATATTAAGAATGTCCTGGGTTTTTAATATGATGATAAGTGGCAGTTGTCTTTGTGGTATGACACAAACAATGTAAATGGTAATAAACTGCGTACATATAGATCATACAAGTATGAGCCTGTCACTAGCGATTATGTAAACTCTGTTCATCTCAAATGTAAAAGAATACTCTTATTTAACTTTAGATGTGGTTATTTGCCCCTTGAAATTGAAAAAGGTAGGCATGCCCGACCTGTGATTCCTGTCAATAATAGGTTATGTAAATTGTGCAATACTGATGTAGAAAACAAGTATCATTTTTAATGGAATGTATATTTTATAATGATCTTAGATCTGTAATTTTAACGAAAGCAAACAATGTATATGAATTTTTCAATGATATGAACAAATTTGAACAGTTCAGATATGTGATGTGTGAACCAGTTCTCCAAAAAACACTAGTTACCCAACTTTCTTTTATGTGGAGGAGAAGAACTATGTTTCTCCCATATTAAATTATCATTATAACTAGATGTGCAGGTATGGGGTGGGGTATTATCCCCCACCCCATACCTGCACATCGAGTTAACAAGAGTGGTTGAGCCTATCCCTACCGACAAATCATATATCCCGGATATATAATTTGTCGGTAGGGATAGGCCCAACCACTCTTGTATATCTCTTACCCTGTTGGGGTACATGGCATCATATATATGCAAATTATAGTCCTGCTACTATTACACTTTTGTATCAAGCACGATTGTTTTTACAAAGACTGGTTAACACCATTCCATGTCTTAAGATAGTAAATAGTGTGATTGTTCTTATAACGTTTTGGCTAGACACATTTAATAATCAAAGGTTATGTATTGTGATTTGATGAATACTATGTGTTTGACACGAAAATAAAATATTTGAACTTTGAACTTGGTAAAGTCGACAGCATTACACAGCCAGAACGAGACCATACAATGTATGATACACAAAGTGTCCGTACAATTTAATTATCTCTAAGCGTTTGATTGATGCTCACTTCGGCCCTTTACGCCTTACCAATCGTAGCTGATGGATGGAAGTAGGTCTGTTCAGCATTATTACGTCTACAATTCTTACAAAGGAGAAACGATACTTAAAAAACAGAGGAATATTTGTTTCTTGTGCTGAGAGCTTAATGTACTTAACGCAGAGCTGCTTACAAACAGACTTGACATGATAAGGGACCGGAATCTTTCCTCACATTGGGACTATACCCTTACTTACACAAGGGCTAGACCCTTTCTTTCAAGACGACTAGCCTTTTTTTCTTACATTGAGACTAAACACCTTACTTAAACAAGGGCTAGACCCTTTTCTTTCATTTGGACTAGATCCTTACTAACACGAGGGCTAGACGCTTTTCATTCATTTTAACTATATCCTTTCTTACACGAGGGTTTGACCCTTTACTTAAACAGGGACCGGATTCTTTCCTTACTTTGGGACTATACCCTTACTTACACGAGGGCTTGACCCTTTACTTAAACAGGAACCGGATTCTTTCCTTACTTTGGGACTATACCCTTACTTACACGAGGGCTTGACCCTTTACTTAAACAGGAACCGGATTCTTTCCTTACTTTGAGACTATACCCTTACTTACACGAGGGCTAGACCTTTATTTCAAGACGGCTAGACCCTTTTCTTTCATTTGGACTAGAACATTACTTACACGAGGACTAGACGCTTTTCTTACATTGGGACTATACCCTTTCGTACATGAGGGCTAGACCATTTTCTTACACAGGGACCAGAAATGTCTGTTTCACTGGGTCCTGTCGTATTTTACAAAGGGACTAAGCAAGTTTCTCGTATAGGCTAGGGATATTTCTTTGTCTTATACTGAACACTTTTGTTACACAGGGGCTCATACAACTTTTCATTTATTTGCAAAATCTTTATATAACACAAAATTGTAATATCTACGTAGTCTGTAAGCTGATTAGGGGGCAATGTTTTATACATAAAACACAGTGAAACATATACGTCTGTTTTAAAGTCGAGTAATCCAGAATCAGATTGTAAATATTAACGTAAATTTGCAATGTCAACTGTTCTGAAGAAAGAACAGATTGTATTTTTACAATGTAAACCTAGCGATGTCGAAGGATGTAAAAGGAGAATTATTGTCGGCTAAATAGCGGCGAATGACGTGTCTTTATGAATCTACTTCACTTGAAATTATTTTTCAGGTCACGGTCCAACTGCAAATGTAAACAAAATATGAAGTTCTCTTCTGAGAACCAGCAGAATTCTGGTGAAATGTACTAGGCTGTCGTATTTTCTAGCCATTTCTGCTGTAAAAAAGGGCCCAAAACTGTCGTCGGATCCTAAACTGGTCCAGAGGCTTGTTGGTTATGGGAAGAAACTAAACGCCTTTCCGTAATACACTAATGTCGTACGGCAGATTATTATGTTTGAAGGTGTGTGTTACCTGCTTCGGTTATAATAATTATGTATGCCATCAGTCACTGTTTGTCAGATCGTCACGCGGTCAGGCTTAATTCATCAACAGACGTAATTATAGCTGTTTTGTCTCAGTATTACACTCACCTTGTATACGAACGATGTATTAATGCAGAGAACAAAGTGTCCAAAACAAGGTTAGCATAATATCAAACTAAAGCCAATTTTCGAAACTGTGTATTTTCATAATAAATATTCTTTTAAAGTTTACATATTTTTATATTTGTTTACTAAAGAAGTTTTTTAAAGATGTATATAAATATTATTTATTTTTATTTGTCTTTTAATCCTTTGAAAATATTGTGTTATTCTGTCAATAAACTAACCAAACTTTACTTGCCAAGACAAAGGTAATTTATGCAAGGTTTTCGATGCCCATGCGCTGAGGATGCCACGGCGACGTCCGGAGATCTCGGACTGTGAATGGAATTACTATACTAATTAGGCTGAGTGTATTACACCCATGGCTTTGATTTATTACTCACAAAATAACTGTATGACATATTTCTGATTTTTTTTGAAGAAACGCCAAACTACATGACAATTTGCAAGTTAAGATATAATCTTTGGAAATTACAAGCAGGATAATTACAACACAACGGAGATTATATAAAAACTGGAATCCTTTCTACGCCACGTTGAAAAAATGTATCGTTTACTCTATTTTCTTTTCGAAATAATATGTGTGCTTCGCACTGTTCGTTGTTTTGAACAATACCAGCATGACATTCCGAACGGATTTAACATCCCGAACCCCTGTGTACCTAAAGGGATCTGGAATGGAGTAGGACATTATGGACCAGAGGGGCAGGGGCCACAGAACCAGTTCGGCAAGGATTTCGCGGCGGCAGGAAAGGTAATTGGTTCTAGTATACTGTTTACACATACGAATATTTATATAAATTATACATTTCATCGGTGCACCATTCACCGGTGTAATTAACATGCAAGTTTCTGACAGGGTTTATAAACAATCTAGATAGACATCACGATTTGGACACCTTTTATTTCGCAAAACACATCATAAATATGCAATGGCCAACATCTATCACGCACGAATATTACAGTAGCGATTCAAAGAACGTAAAAAGTAAATAAACAAAGTGATCTTAATGATACTGCAACCTGGTAGTTCTTACTATAGAACGATCAACACCGAAACAAAAAAAGTCTGTTCCTTCTTCAGAACATTCTACACAGAAAATAAACATCCTGTTATTCCTTCAGAACATTCGACATAGATTTTTGTTTGTTTGTTCCTACTTCAGAACATTCAACATAGAAAATATACATCCTTGTCTTTTTTCAGAACATTCGACATATACATAAAACCCCTGTTCTTCCTTTATAACATTCGACATAGAAAACAACCAGTTTGTACTTCCTTCAGAACATTTGACATGAAAAATAAAAAGTCTGTTTCTCCTTCAGAACATTCGACATGGTTAATATACATCCTGTTCTTTCTGCAGAACATTCGACATAGAAAATAAACAGTCTGTCCCTCCTTCAGAACATTCGACATAGAAAATAAAAAGTCTGTACTTCCTTCAGAATATTTGACATAGAACATAAACAGTTTGTACTTCATTCAGAACATTCGACATTGAAAATAAACAGTCTGTTCCTCCTTGAGAACATTCGACATAGAAAATAAACAGTTTGTACTTCCTTCAAAACATTCGACATAGAAAAACAACCAGTTTGTACTTCCTTCAGAACATTCGGCATTGAAAATAAACAGTCTGTCCCTCCTTCAGAACATTGGACATAGAAAATAAAAAGTCTGTTCTTCCTTCAGAACATTCGACATACAAAATATACAGTCTTACCCTCCTTCAGAATATTCGTAATAGCAAATATACATTCTGTTCTTCCTTCAGAACATTCAACATAGAAAATAAACAGTCTGTTTCTCCTTCAGGACATTTGACATTTTAAATAAAAATCCTGATCTTCCTTCAGAACATTCGACATAGAATATAAACAGTTTGTACTTCTATCAGAACATTCGACACAGAAAATAAAAAGTGTGTTTCTCCTTCAGAACATTCGACATGGTTAATCTTCCTTCAGAACATTCGACATAGAAAATAAAAAGTCTGTTCTTCCTTCAGAACATTCGACAATAAAATCAACAGTTTTTACTTTCTTCAGAACATTCGACAAAGAAAATAAACAGTTTGTTCTTCTATCAGAACATTCGACAAAGAAAATAAAAAGTGTGTTTCTCCTTTAGAATATTTGACATGGTTAATCTTCTTTCTGAACATTCGACATAGAAAATAAAAAGTCTGTTCTTCCTTCAGAACATTCGACATAGAAATAAACTGTTTGTACTTCCTTCAGAACATTCGACATAGAAAATAAACAGTTTGTTCTTCGCTCAGAACATTCGACATAGAAAATAAAAATCTGTTTCTCCTTCAGAACATTCGACATACAAAATAAACAGTCTGTCCCTCCATCATAACATTGGACATAGAAAATAAAAAGTATGTTCTTCCTTCAGAACATTCGACAGAGAAAATAAACAGTTTGTTCTTCGTTCAGAACATTCGACATAGAAAATAAAAATCTGTTTCTCCTTCAGAACATTCGACATACAAAATAAACAGTCTGTCCCTCCTTCATAACATTGGACATAGAAAATAAAAAGTATGTTCTTCCTTCAGAACATTCGACATAGAAAATAAAAAGTATGTTCTTCCTTCAGAACATTCGACATACAAAATATACAGTATGTATCTTCTTCAGAATATTCGACATGGTTAATAGACATACTTGTCTTACTTTAGAACATTCGACATAGAAATTAAAAAAAAAGTTTGTTTCTCCTTCAGAACATTCGACATAGAAATTAAAAAAAAAGTTTGTTTCTCCTTCAGAACATTTGTCATTTTAAATAAAAAAATCCTGTTCCTTCAGAACATTCGACATTGAAAATAAACAGTCTGTCCCTCCTTCAGAACATTGGACTTAGAAAATAAAAAGCCTGTTCTTCCTTCAGAACATTCGACATACAAAATATACAGTCTGTTCCTCCTTCAGAACATTCGACATACAAAATATACAGTCTTATCCTCCTCCAGAATATTCGTAATAGCAAATATACAGTCTTATCCTCCTCCAGAATATTCGTTATAGCAAATATACATTCTGTTCTTCCTTCAGAACATTCCACATAGAAAATAAAAAGTCTGTTCTTCCTTCAGAATATTCGACATAGAAAATAAACAGTCTGTGTCCCCTTCAGAACATTCGACATAGAAAACAACCAGTTTGTACTTCCTTCAGAACATTCGACATACAAAATAAAAAGTCTGTTTCTCCTTCAGAACATTCGACATACAAAATATACAGTCTGTTCCTCCTTCAGAATATTCGACATAGCAAATATACATCATGTGCTTCCTTCAGAACATTCGACATAGAAAACAACCGGTGGTTTGTACTTCCTTCAGAACATTCGACATAACAAATAAAAAAAATATGTTTTTCCTTCAGAACAGTCGCCATGGTTAATATACATCCTTGTCATCCTTAAGAACATTCGACATAGAAAATATACAGTATGTTTCTCCTTCAGAATATTCGACATAGCAAATATACATCATGTTCTTCCTTCAGAACATTCGACATACAAAATATACAGTATGTTCCTACTTCTGAATATTCGACATGGTTAATAGACATACTTGTCTTACTCCAGAACATTCGACATAAACATAAAACCCCTGTTCTTCTTTCATAACTTTCGACATAGAAAATAAAAAGTCTGTTCATCCTTCAGAACATTCGACATAAAAAATAAAAAAGTCTGTTTCTCCTTCAGAACATTCGACATGGTTAATATACATCCTGTTCTTTCTACAGAACATTCGACATACAAAATAAACAGTCTGTCCCTCCTTCATAACATTGGACATAGAAAAAAAAGTCTGTTCTTCCTTCAGAATATTCGTCATAGAAAATAAACAGTTTGTACTTCCTTCAGAACATTCGACATAAAAATTAAAAAGTCTGTTTCTCTTTCAGAACATTCGACATGGTTAATATACATCCTGTTCTTTATTCAGAACATTCGACACAAAAAATAAACAGTCTGTCCCTCCTTCAGAATATTCGACATAGCAAATAAACATTCTGTTCTTCCTTCAGAACATTCCACATAGAAAATAAAAAGTCTGTGTGTCCTTCAGATCATTCGACATAGAAAATAAACAGTTTGTACTTCCCTCAGAACATTCAACATAGAAAATAAACAGTCTGTCCCTCTTCCTTCAGAACATTCCACATACAAAATATACAGTCTATACATCTTTCAGAATATTCGACATAGAAAATAAACAGTTTGTTATTCCTTCAGAACATTCGACATAGAAAATAAAAAATCTGTGTGTCCTTCAGAACATTCGACAGGGTAAATATACATCCTGTTGTTCCTTCAGAACATTCTACATAGAAAATAAACAGTTTGTACTTCCCTCAGAACATTTAACATAGAAAATAAAAAGTCTGTTTCTCCTTCAGAACATTTGACATTTTAAATAAAAATCCTGTTCTTCCTTCAGAACATTCGACATAGAAAAAGTTTGTACTTCCTTCAGAACATTCGACATACAAAATATACAGTCTTCTCCTCCTCCAGAATATTCGTAATAGCAAATATACATTCTGTTCTTCCTTCAGAACATTCCACATAAAAATAAAAAGTCTGTTCTTCCTTCAGAATATTCGACATAGAAAATAAACAATCTGTGTCCCCTTCAGAACATTCGACAGGGTAAATAAACATACTGTTCTTCCTTCAGAACATTCGACATAGAAAATATATATCATTGTCTTCCTTTAGAACATTCGACATATAAAATAAACAGTTTGTACTTCCCTCAGAACATTCGACATAGAAAATAAAAATCTGTTCCTCCTTCAGAACATTTGACATTTTAAATAAAAATCCTGTTCTTTCTTCAGAACATTCGACATAGAAAATAAACAGTTTGTACTTCCTTCAGAACATTCGACATAAAAATGAAAAATATGTTTTTCCTTCAGAACATTCGACATGGTTAAAATACATCCTTGTCTTCCTTAAGAACATTCGACATAGAAAATATACAGTCTGTTCCTCCTTCAGAATATTCGACATAGCAAATATACATCATGTTCTTCCTTTAGAACATTCGACATACAAAATATACAGTATAGGTTTACCTCGTGGAAAATGTCATTGACTAGAACAATTAATTATCAATGCATGATAAACATTTCTGAAGTCCACTGGGGCGACTAGTGTGTGTTTATATGTGCTGTTAAAAGTATATTTATTATTAGTCGTCTGTCATATCATAATGGTTAGAGCCGTATATAATTTATATATATTTAGTTCATATTAATGTTACTTACTGTCAGTGACGTCATTAAATAGCGCTGTCTGTAATTTCGATATATAGTATGTATACTTCATTGTACCTTATTTTCAGTGACGTATTTGTAAGTAGCCTATTCTGTATAGAATGAATAACATTTTACCTACAATGACGTCATATAAGGTGCAATAATGCCTTTTAGGATTTTATATACATTGTAAAACATTACTTATTTTTCATGGATGTCATTATAGGCAATGAAATTCAAGAAATACCATAATAAGAATCATTTCTCCGAAATAATTTCAAAATAACATCTTACCTGTGCATCAGAAATTAACACAACAAAGTAAAAATTGTCTGTAAAATGAATTGTGTTTATGAGTCTTTCAGCATACATGTCTACTATGCTACAAACCAGTTTTAATTATTTGTATTTTAGCCCAGTATACTTATTTTGTACCTCAGTGAACCTAATTTATTT